CCTTTGAGACCCTGGCAAGCATTCGGTGTCGGATCAGACTTGTAACCCCAATTGTAGCGTGTCATCTGGGTGAGCGCGGCGGTAAGGGGGACGTCACTAAAAAGAGGGATAAAAGATGGGTTAGTTAGTAAATTTGCCCATATTTAAGACTTTATCGAAATTTTTTACTGTTGTAAACAGGCTTAAGATATAGCCCATTAAAAATTAGTGATTTCAAAACTCTTTTGGTTTTTCACCCAACACTCTTCATATTTATTAGCGTAGATACCGCTTACGTAGTTATAGCCGAGTTTACAACAGCTCTCCAGCCAATTGGAGATTCCAAGTGTAGCCAGATCCTTCTTCACCTGGCCTTTCCAATAGAGTCCGATGGCGAGGTTTTACTTTTCCTCTGCTTCCCCCGACGGGTACTGTGTCGAACACTCTCAGAGCTGGAGAATACATTCGGACGAAGTGTTCTAGCCAGAGCGGCCACTGTTTATTAATTCGTTCAACTCTATCAATGTCGTCGTATATCTCGCACAGCTCGAGTGCGCCGATGGCCGTTGCCAATGCACAAAGAACATTAAATCTTCAGCAGAACCTTTCTCTCGTACCGCTGATTCATCAAATCCATGCCTCTGCACCATATAGCAGAATGGATATGATGAGTGACTTGTAGAATTTGGTCTTTGTTCGTCAAGAGAGGACTTTACTTCTCAATACTTTACTTCTCAATTGCTTATCAGTCCGATTTGGCAAGAGTTATTTTGCGCTGAATTTATTAAATTCCGAAGCACGGAAAACTTTGTCATGATCTAGCAAATAATAGATTCGACTTTCGATGGCAAAGATGTCAGTTTTTCAGATTTCTTCCATTTTCTTTTAACCCTCAAACCTCACAATCTTTAAACGAAATACAAAACTTTCGAACCAAAGGGTTGAAGGTTTTCATTCTATCTAACCTAATATATGTATACATTGTAACGGACCTTAAAAGAGGACCGAAAATTAAGAATCAGAATCCCCAAATATTCTACTTACCTCAAGAACGTTTCTTGATCGCCCGCCTCCAGCAACAGCACCGTTGCATTGCTAATCTCACTCAGTCTATTGGCAACAACACAGCCACCCGAACCAGCGCCGATAATTATGAAATCATAAGCCTCATCGAACGTTTGAGTATCCGGTAGACGCGTATTGAGTAGTGACGTCTCGAAATTGCGTGCCAAATCGACGAGTGGCTGAGCRTTCATTAGCAGCGGCAAAGTGGCAAGCCAAAGGCTGACGCAGCTCCAACTGATGTGTGGCATACCGCAGCTCGTTGTCATACTAATGGATGGAAAAGCGGCAGCAACTGTGCCTRCGGTTAGAAGACGCGTGTGAGAGGTATAAACAAAACATTGCAATTKCAAAATAWATTTGTGAAAACACTCTTAGCTGTTCGATTTCATAGATATGTATATTTGTCTATGTACCTATGTTTGCAAATAAATGGCATAGCTACTTAGCGTTATGATGCTAATTGTATGCGCTACTTATATTTCTAAATTAAGTTCTAATTCACATGCTGAGTGGTGTTAAGCAGTTAATTAGCGCATAGCCTTGAGCGTCATTTAGTGCATTATTTGCTGTTTTGGTTATTCTAAAAAAAATATTTTTAATTCATAAGTACGGTGATTGCAACATGTCGAATGCAACCAGACCTACTTCTAATAATTAATTTCATTATATTTATGCTTACTTTAGTTAATTCGAATAGCACTGAAAATGTCAGAAAATTATGTACTGAATATAGTATACGGAAAAGCTCATATTAATATTCACAAAGTTACACTATAGGATTTTAGACTTCAATACCGAATATAAGGATCTAAGTGCCCATGGCTGTGTTCATATCAATGCTGTAGGTAAATACCTTTTTTAGACTTTATTAATATAGGGCCTTATTGCTATAGCTGACATTATACCAAAAATCTTTTCTAAAAATATGGTCGAAGTGAGGATTTAGCCTTTCAGATTTAGATACCGAATGTAAGGATCTAAGTGGCTGTGGTTGATTTTAAATCATAAATATCGTTGAATTTGAGATAGGTAAATCAATGATTTTTTTCCTAATTATAATGTGGTCCTAGATTACAAGTCAATAAAATTGGTTCACCGCAACAACAACGCCGTATAGGCAGCATTCTCAAGCTTAGAAAAAAAAAACTAGAAACAGAAGAGTCTGGGGGAGAACGTGGAAAAGAACGTGGATTGTGAGATCAAGTAACTCTTGACAGTTTTTAATTTCGATATAATTAGCAAATGCATATATCTCAGATCCATCATAAATACCATAAACAATTGAAAAGTATGACCCTCTCATCTGTCATAATACTCGTCCTGATGTGTGGTGCGGAAGCATGGACAATACGACAATCGATGAGTATTCTTAAAGAGGGTTTGAATGAAAATTCTTTGAGTTATTTTGAGCTTCCTTCATGTGAGTAAGTTTAGTTATACGGTATACGACTCCAATATGGATACAGGTGCTAAACATAAAATCTTATGCTAGACCAATTAACTTAGTGCATAGGCTTTCTGCAATAAGTGCTTTCCATTTCAAAAAACGCTGCTGAGATATGAGCCAGTATGGTGCCGATTGACATCAGGGGAGACGAATTCGATGACGTGAATATATAACCTATCAGAGTCGTCAACGGTAGCAAACTTCATGCAAAGAACGGCGGGCGCACAGACTGATTCCGGACATACATTTGTGGATAGATAGACAACATGAGGATATGGATTTCCAACTAATCCAAACAGTCAGTGACCATGGATGCTTTAGAAGCTTAGTATACAAATATTGTCATGACTTTAGTCCATATTGTATACGTACACAGAGTGTATAGACGACACTGAACACGCACATTTCTCACGGTTTTCAACTACATTTGGAGTTAGTCTCACGGTGGAAAATTTGACTGCACTTTTGTGCGAGTAAAACAGAAAGCTGTCAGCAACATTTACAACAGATTATGTTACAGTCAGTCCGTACAAAAGAGGAAATTTAAATGTCTTCTTCTCCCCCATGAAGAAATACTTTTTACAGTGGTAGCGTGGGAGAGACATGAGATGAGTGTAGTGGCTTAGGTTTAGCGGCTTAAAATACCGCTTCCTCCTGCTATAAAAAAGGGTAAGAGAATTAGCTGAACCTTCGAACATTTCTCAATCAAAAATGCTTTCGTACCCACAACACCCACTTATGCTAAAATCTTTAATGTATCGGTCGATCTTCTTCAAAAAAAAACGGCACACAACAGATCTTCGATATTGCAAACATATATAAACTAGTTTCAATTATATTTAAACACATTTAAAACCAAACTTCCACCATTAAATTTTTACACTGAGAAAGAGTTCTCGATATACACATACCGCCTTCCTTCTTTTTCTTTTAATAAAAAAGCTATATAAAATATAATGACTTCTTTTAAAAGAAAAAAAGTATTAATCTTCTTCTTTTAAAAGAACAAAAGAATTAATTAATTAATTATGCAAACGAAAATCACAAAGAAAAGCCTAAAAATCAATAAATTAAATTGTGTGAAATCCACTATCAATTCGAAAGATTCTTGACCTTGAAGCAGCGTTCAATAGTTTTGCTCTTGTACCACCAACTTGGCAACCGGTTTGCAGCAGCTCAAGTTCAAAATCGAGTAAATGCAATGGACGCCAGCTCACACTCATTACAACAACAGGTAAATAACTCCAAAACCATAAGTTAAGCGCGAATTAAAGCAAAAGGAAAATAAAAAAAAAAAAACAAAATCAAAACGAGGATGAAGTGCATGCGAAACGGCAATCAAAACAAATTGAAAAGGCAAAGACCAGTTCAGCGTCGTTTTCAGCCAAAACAAAACAAAATCTGCGAAATGCGTACAAAAACAATAACAATTATAGTCATTATAAACAGCGCATAGCTATACGTGCAAGCTTTTCGTAAAACAACCGTTTTGTAGCGTTCATTGTCGGCACATATACATATRTAGGCGGAATACACACACCCGTACATACATATTCGATCGATTGAATCGATTGTAATTTTTTTACCATAAAAGCCAACAGTTACGCACAGAAATGCTTGAATGCGAAACACTTGCAAGCTTGAACTTACTCTTGCTTTTATTGTTACAAATTTATTGCGGTTTTTGGCTTTTAATATCAAGTTTTTCATGCACGCCCAAGAGCACAGCACCGTTCCCAATAGCTTAGCATTTCATTGGTGTCAAAAATCACTTAGCCCCATGATTGAGCTGACCATGATTGTAGCAGCTTGTAACGATATGGGTGCTTGAGATCGCGTTTGTTGCTTCATAGTTATAATATTGACATTTCAATTTTCTGCTGCAAATTATTGAGAGGATAGTTACGGTATTGCATACTTATACAGGGTGCTGTATAATTTTTGTAAATTGTTAAAAATTGCATTTCTAATAATGGAAAATTCCCTTGGAAGTGGCCAGAAACGATTATTTTACATATAGTTAAAATAGCTCACGACTTCCGGACCCAGTAACCTTTGGGTAGCTGAAAAAAAGGCGGCTTAAAGTGAGAAAGCAAATCATCCCTTCCCAGGGTTTTGCGCTGGATTAAGACCCGGCACGAGAAAAAACACTTTCGATTACGACCACTCCAAACGCATTAAGGATTACGATTTGAAGGCATGTACTTGGAATGTCCGTCCTCTTAATTGGGAAGGTGCTGCTGCCCAGCTGGTTGATGTGCTCGTAAGAGTAAAGGCTGACATCACCGCCGTCCAGAAAGTGCGATAGACGAGATAATGACTGAGACGAGTAGGTCCTTGCGACAATGGCATATAAAGGAGCTCATTATCGGTGTGGAATTCATGGAGAGAAAGAGACTCCGTCGTCAAGCTCTAGCATTCACCTCGGTGAAAGTTTAGCCGCAATCCACATCAAAGCAAAGTTCTTCAACATATCGCCGCTTTGCGTTCACGTCCCGATGAAAGAGAAGGACAATGTGACCAAAACTGCCTTCTATGAGCGCATGGAACGCACCTATAAAAGTTGCCTCGCCGTGATATTAAAATCGAGATTGGTGACTTTAACGCCAGGGAGAGAAAAGAAGGTATCTTTGGCATCTATATTTTTTGATAAATTCAGCCTCCATGGTAAAACATCCCCAAATGGAAGAAGGCTGATTGAATTCGCCGAAGCCCGAAATATGCTTAGAGCTATATTCAAGCTTAGGAAAATTCATCAAGCTACCTGGCTGTCTCCGGATTTAAAAGCCACCAACCAGATATATCATGTTGTGATAGATGGCAGGCACGTCTCCAGTATATTAGACGTGCGAACGCTCCGCGATCCTAGTATTGACTCATAAAGTCAAAGCCAGTTTAAAATGTTTAAAAGCAGCCGCATACATTCGAAAGCAAGGAAATTGGAACAATATGAATTTAAAGAAGAAGTCGTTTTTGCATTGGATTGAGATTGGTGATGCAAAATGGTGTCTTTCCAAAAATCCTAAGTAAAAACAGCATATGCGCGACTTGAACAACCAGCCAAATCAACAGCAGTGAACGAATATCTAGGTAGTGCTCTGTATTTGGTGAGATCAGAAGAGCGTGCTGTATTATAAGCTACTAAAAGTGGTTGTATCTAATAACTGGGAAACGCTATATACAACAGCGCATGGACTTAAATGGACGATAGCCCAAAAACGATCGGAACTTGCAATAATTTACCATCATGACAACGTTTGGCCTCATCGGTTAAATACTATTTGGAGAAAAGCGATTGGGAAGGTTTACCTCACCTGCCTTACAGCCTAGATCTTTCGCCTTCTGTCTACTAGAATGACGAGAAAATGTTATAGCTGCAGTTGAGTAAAGCTTTAAATATATAATTATTTGCTTTTGCAACACCCTGTCCAATTGGAATGCATTTGACGTCATTGTTTACAGTAAATACAATTAAATTGAGGATATATCAGCAAACAAATGTGCATGCATGCGTGCTAATGGTGCGCACGCGCGTCACACTTAAAATGTTTGTAATTCTAATGAGAATTGCCGCGCATAAAAGACCTTCACTGCGGCAAATATGCATACAAATTGACAGAAGTAGAACTGCAAAGTGCTACAATGTATTGAGTACATAGCAAAGTTTTATTTGTCGAAAACGGAATCTATTTATACTTTCATTCAATATTCTGCCATACTTCACAGCGCTTGCTGAGAAGGTAGTTGCTAGGGTTTCGCAAGTTAACGCAGTTAGAAACATGGGTGCTCCAAGAAATATAAATTTAATTGAAAAATGTTTGATACTATTAAATATAACTATATTCTAAAAG